CTCTGGATTGAGCTGTCCCACCTGACCCTGTGAGACGCCCCCGCTGAGTTACAAGTTGCAGTGGCCATGTGGGCTCGCCCAGCTCCTGCCAAGGAGAATGGGGCCTTCACGGCAGCTTAATGGGGCCCAGACCTTCACAGGATCCCTGGGCCTGCCCTGAGGGTGCTGTGGCACAGACCCCCTCCACCCCTTCCAGGGTCTCAGGGACATGGCCTTGGACAGAGTCCCTCCTCCCCCGACCCCCACCGCTGTCCAGTCCTCTGGAGGGAGACCACTGTCTGGCCGTCCTTGGGGGGAGTGGTCGAGAGCGTAGGGTTGAGGAGTCTGCCACAGGGAGCCGGAAGGTGGGGGGCCTCCTGTGCCCTTGCCTGTTCCTCAGACAGGGTTTTGTATGAGAAAGAGGTGTTTAAGGACCTCAGGGGCCTCAGGACTCTCCTAGAAGCTTTTCTAGAGGCCAGGCTCAGCCTGTTCAGGAAAGGAGACTGTGCTGTGCTGCGACCAAGTTCTCATGCTGTAGATTCTCACAACCACCACGGGCCAGGTCTGCCAGCAGTTTGTAGTGTTGCAGTAGTGCACACGGAGTCCCTGATGGAAAAAGTCTGTATATAACCTGCTGTTCATGGCTTTGTGTTGAGAAAAACCAGGAAGAGTCCCCGTAGCATCTCTTCACCGACACAAAGCCCATCGAGATCTGCGTTCCGTAAATCACACACACAGGATGGCGCTTGCTTTCCCTACACGGTGCGACTGCTTTGACCAACCCTGTGAGCACGAAATTCACCCATTATCTGCCCGTTAGTGAGCCCAACAGACTGCTCCCAGCCCAGCCTCACTGCTCAGCCACAGCCATCGATCACATCCCCAGGAAGGCACACACTCTGTCCACTCCCCGCGGAGAGTTCGTCTAGAGCAGGATGGGTCCTGGCGCACTGGGGCCCCAGGGGCCACAGCCCAGCTGGTCCGGCATCTCTAGCTGCCTTAACAACTCACCTGGACCGCTGGACCCGGATCCGATTCCCAGCTGCGGAGCCAGAGGCTGAGTCAGGGAAAGCGACTCAGGGGCACCCACTCAACACCAGAGACAGTAAACCGCCTGGTGATGCATCTGTTTGACAAATGTCTCATGGCTCAGCTGTTGGCTGGTGTTTTCTGTGGGTGGGCGGCAGTTTGTTGAACTGCACGGGGCCAACCACATCCATAAGGGAACCGAAGTTCCAGGTCGGAAACCTCCCTGGCAGAATCTCACGCAGCAGCGCTCGAGAGAGGTCTGCTGTCTCCTCTGTGGACACGGTGTTATAAACCCTCGTGCTGTGGATACATTTCATAAATGAGAATCCTAGCTGTCCTTGTCATTGTAAAACAGAATGTAAACAAAGTCTTATGAATGTATTTCCTTAGGAAAACTGTTGTAAAATTTTTTATTAGAAAAGAATTCCTATTTATTTAATACTGAACCTTGGCCTACTTTATGGTAGACAAAGGAACATGACTGTAGGAGTCGCTATTTCTCACTTCTGTATTTTCTTGAAAATAATTTGGTTACAGTGCTTCTATACCGTGTACTAGTGGTCTTCTATTGTGAAAGGAGATTTAAAGAATTTCTTTGAAGCTGGAAATGTATGTTAATTAGGAGTGGTGAAAATTGTGTATGTTAATTTTGTGAATGTAAATTAAGTCGAATTTTGTGTAACCCTGATCACAGAACGATGTGCCTTACAGCGAGCGCTGCCCCGGACGTGTTGGGCAGGGGCCCCATCACAGACCCTGTCAAGCCTGCATGATCAAGTCTATTAAAAATGTTTCAAGGCACTTTGGGCACAAACTTTGTTTATAAATGAGAAATCATATCGAGGAGAATTTAAGGAGCAGTTTCTGCAGGCAAACACTGCTCTGGCACTAAAATGAACGTCGACACAGTTACGTGCGGGCGCGTGCCCGTGGGTCAGAGGCAGCCCCTCTGGCTGGTGCAAGGAGGTTGTTGGACAACGCGAATTCTGGCCCACCCAGGCCTCTGAGAACTGGTTCTTCCCAGAGACACGGAGACACCACCGCTCACTTGCTTACTCAAACTCGTCACTGCACACGGGGCAGGTGCCCAGAGAGGGCAGAACAGTACCCACCCAGCCAGAGTCAGGAGAGGAAGCACCTGAGACATTAAAGAAGAAGGGTGGCCCAGGGCTGAAAAGAGGTGAGCAGGGACAGCAGGGTCCAGAGCCTGGAGGCAAGGAGGGTCTCTGAAGGGTCATCATGAGGCTGATGGCGGTGGCAGAAGTGCAGAGAGACCCATGAGATGGAGCTGTGCACCTGTCCCTGAATGTCCTGGGGAATCCTGTCCCCGCCCCCCAGGTGGATCTCACCCTCTCAGGTGGCTCCTGCCTCGCCCTCCACCAGGTGGAGCCCCTCCCAGGTGGATCTCACCCCCCCAGGTGGATCCTACCTCACCCCCACCAGGTGGAG